TGGTCCTGCTTTTTAGCAGGGGGTTGGACTAGATGACCTCCTGAGGTCCCTTCCAACCCTGATATTCTATGATTCTAACCTTAGCCCCCCTGCCCAGGCCTGAAGCGTTCGGGCTTCGGCTTCAGCCCTGGGCGGTGGGGCTTGGGCTTCAGCTTTGGCCCTGGGCCCCAACAAGTCTAACACCAGCCTTGGTGACCCCTTTAAAATGGGTAAGTCCCAACCCACAGTTTGAGAACCCCTGGTATAGGGCCTTCAACTGCTCCAAGGCAAATTTAGAAGCCAGAACTCCAGCTGCCTTCAGGATCCTTGCCATTACTTGTCACTAATCCTGTAAAGCACAGAGCAACCCGAAAGTCAGGCTTGTCTGCCCTAGCAGAAGCATAGATGCCTTTTTTACCTGCTTCACTGCTACCAAAGTGAATAGTCACAACCAACTGTTGACTTCACTGGAAAAGCCGTATAAACTGACAGCATGTTAGAAGCTCAGCTGCTGAGCTGACATGGGCAAATTGACCGGCCTCTTGAAACCATCTGGCAGCACCTGCACTTGGCCCTGGAAACTGTTAGCACATTTCTAATATGGATGGCCCTGAAACAAAATCCCAAATCCAGGTCTGAACCTAGCTCTACAACAGGTTGAATCCAGTCACTGGATTTGCATACACCAAACCATGTGGGAACTTTAGATATTGATCCGCATTTCATGCATCCCTGGCTTGGCATTCACACCCAGGGGACTGGCCATAGCAGACATTGTAAATCCCAAATTCCAGTTTGGGCCACCTTTAATTTCTAGTAAGAACTAGTGCTGTAGAAGAGATTATTTAAATATGGTGCTAGCAAACGTGCTACTTATGTATCCAGATGGAGGGCAGAGGGGACAACAGACCTGAGATGAAAAGAGCAGGGCATGTCAGGTCTGTCTTTGCTGTTCTTCAGCGCCGCTTTGTGGTAGGAAATAAAACGACGATATGCCCTATTTCGATGGACAGGGTCCCAAAGATACAGAATAAAAAGAGAAACTCAAGAAGCAGCGGCAGGGGCTAATGGAGAGAGACTTTTGCTGCTCATGCACTCACGGATGTGTATACATGTCCTAAGCATGCAGCCACAAGCATCTTATAAACTAGTTCCAAACAACAAGCTGCATCTACTTCTAGGAACGGGGTGAATGTTTTGAATATCACTCAAATATATACACTGGTCTTGATCTTTTGCTTATGCGAACCGTCCACAGTAATAATAAATCACTAGATCCTTTCAAAACTAGCAGAGGGCTGGAGGCTTGACCAACAGCTATGTATCTCCATTTATTAATAGCGCTCTCTCTAGCCATCTCTCTAATCTATTCATTCCAGTCCATTTTTAATCTGCCTATTTTTCGATCTATTTATCCAGCCAGCCATGCCATAAATAGCTAACTCTAGATCCCTTTACAATTCGTACAGAGATTAAATCCTTCTGTTGCTATCTAATCACTCTATCTCTGGAAAGACAAACACTCAGAATTTCTTCGTAGTTATTAAAGACACAGATATTTGAGTAGAAAACTCTGGTATCTGTCCATCTGTGTATGCAGACAGTGTATACATACTGCCCATGAACATACACTCCTATATATGCAGATGGCCATCTTAAATTAATAGGCTACACAAGGGTTGTATCTATCCTGGGTTTACTCAGAACAATAAATCCTCTTCCAGGAAAAATGCAACATACCCAAATGATCAAAAATCCCTATTCTATTCCCATTACATAATTCTATGTAATTAATTTCTGAACCTTTGCACACACAGCTGCCTGGCTGCATGTGAAGATGATGTCATTCCTACTAAGGCCAACACAACAAACTTGGTAAAACATTTCACATCCAGGGCAGACTAACTAATAGGATAACTGATGACACCTAAACTGAGGACACAATCCTCCATGGACGTGGAATCGCTTTCACTAGGAGCGGGAGCGGGCCTTAAATATTCACTGTATTGTGACTGCCTTTTCAAGGGCAACGATCAAATGCAGAGTATGAGCCTCGAAAGAGACACATTCAGCTGCTAGGGAGGAGAAGGTGGGAAGGCCTCTCCTCCTGCTCCAGTGGGGGTAACAGGCTGCAGAAGGTGCAGCTTCTCCTCTGTAATCAGTAGCATTGGGCAGGAAGATGTCGGGCGCAAAGGAGATGTTAATTGGTTTGGGACCAACTCCAAGCAAGCATCATTCTCTCTATGGAAACATACATTTTCTTATTCAGGGGAAAAACAACTGTAAGGTCCTCAGGTGACCTCTGAGCCTCCATTCACAGCTTTTTTGGACTAAAGCCCCTCACAAGAGGCCTTAGGCGATCTTCAGCCCATTGTGAGACCCAGATAACCCATGTATCTGTGTCACTGAAGACAAAACAGCTACCGCCCTATTTCTGGCACAAAATGCTAGGGGTTAGGGGGCACGATAGGGGGGAAGAGGGGAAACAAAAGTGCCGCCCCACTGCTTTCTGCCCTGGAAGACAGACCCACCTGCAGCTAGCTTAGGGGAAAAAAAAAAACATGATTCTGTAAAGTGAAAACCATCTACCAAAGTGGACAAGATCGTTACGTACAACCTGAAGGAACAGGTCATCAGCTGTTTGGGCACAAACCAAGACCCCTGGGGGCCTGGGAGGGGTGGGTGAGAGAAGGAGTGACTCCCGTCCCCGTGGGGGCAGTAACTTCCCACCCCTTCACCAGTGGGCAACATGGTGCTTTTCTCCTTCTCCCAACCCGTTCCTTGCACCCTCCCTTCCCCCTCAGCTCCTGGGCTGGCGCAGCTGCCAGCTGGTTGAGTCAAGCCCCACTCCCCCCATCGGTGGTGGTACCAGGGCTGTCAAGAGAGCTGGCGAGATGCCGCTTCTGCCAGCCTGGCTGGTACCAGAACTGTTGCTGCCGCCGCTGCCACTGGCTGTATCCCCCGTCCTGCCAGGTAAGGTGATGCCGGTGCCATCTGCCAGGCCCTGTGCCTGGGAGCACAGCTGCAGTTGCCCTCCCCAGCGCTGGGTGCCGGAGAGACCTGATTCCCGTTGCTTACAGCAGTAGCAGAGGGGAGCTGGAGAACATGAGAGAGACACTGCAGTGTCCCGCTTTAAGGCTTCACAGATGAAGTGAGCTGTAGCTCACGAAAGCTCATGCTCAAATAAATTGGTTAGTCTCTAAGGTGCCACAAGTACTCCTTTTCTAGTTCCAGGAGAGAGGATTTAAACACCTGACAGACAGTCCTGGAAAAAGCAGGACATTTGCTCTCTTGTAAAGGAAGTTTTACAAACACTGCAGTAACATGAACTGGACTGATTTCATATTGGTTGGCTTATAATATCATTACAGTGCTCTCTGTTTGGATTCAACCGTTCCGCTTATTCACAGCGCCTTCAAAAACCGGAAACCAAAGCAGAACTATTTAGTTTTCACTGGCCAAGCCCTGAGACACAAAAGACCCGCACAGCATACATGGTGAAAAGTATGTTGCCGTTTGTGTTTTTTTATAAATTCAGCCATTTTTAACAATTGAAAGGATTTTGAGAATGAAAATGTGTCTTTCATAGAACTGGCCTCAATTCTCAAAAGCAACTCGTGGTTTTTGGAAGCTTCCATTTTGGGTTCCTTTCCCTTTTCGTTTTGAGAGATCCCTACACTGTGTTCTGTCACGTTTGGTAAATGTAGCAGTGGAAAATGGTACATTTAAAATGATTTCATGGCCCATTTGGGTTGTTAATCCATAAAATCATTTTTAAAAGTACCATTTCCCACTGCTACATTTCCCTAACGTAACAGAACACAGTGTAGGGATCTATACATGTCTTCTCCCAAAACGAAGTGGGAAAGGAACAGACTGTGAAAAATCAGTCTACTGCTAATGTCTGTTTCTCAAACTGCACTTAACTGGTAAAAAAAAAAAAGGCACATTAAAGCAAGATAAAACTAGCAAAGCATTTGCCTCAGGGAAACAAACCATTCATACAGATTGGTCCATAGACGACCATCAAGGTGTAAAGCATCTCGCAGAATTAGGAAAGTTACAAATACTGATCAGCACCTCGGTTCCCTGTAAACATCCAGGGGAAGTGGGGAGGCTATGGGGGGCCAAGCAGCAGGGTGGGAGGCTGAAATTGAAGAAAGATCTTAGGGACAGAGGAACTCTGCAAACATCAACTCCAAAATCAAAACAACCACCAGTGATTTTGCAATAATGTTGAAAAGCCCATTACAATTTCCATGAGCTGTCTTGCATTCAGGGGTTCAAACCTATACGGAAGATGATACCTAGGAAGGAAAGGGGGTTAATTCCCATTAGCATCAGGATGGTAGTATAAACAGCAATAGCCAAAAGCTATGGGAGGAAAAATTTAGGCCAGACAAACAGGAAAGGACCTGGACCCTGGACCATACTCCCAAGGGATGAAGTTGATACAATGTCAGATTAAAAGCAACAGCATTGCCACCATGTTTTGAGACATATATTAGGCTAATCTACTCCATCCAGGTTTATTCCGCCCATAGGCACAGCCACTGAGTGAGAATAGGGAGACAGATGTCCCAGTTCCCCAACTTTTTCCATGGGGTTGCATCGACTCTGTCTCTCGGGGGAGCACTTTCTGGTGAAAGTACTGAAGAGCAGACCAAATAAAACAGCCGTGGGAATAATGCAGGGAGCAGAGTCCTGCAAAATGAATAGGGGGAGAGAGAGTAAGAAATCAACCAGATTTCAGAGCAGCAGCCGTGTTAGTCTGTATTCGCAAAAAGAAAAGGAGGACTTGTGGCACCTTAGAGACTAACCAATTTATTTGGGCATAAGCTTTCGTGAGCTACAGCTCACTTCCTCGGAGTAATTCAGAGTTAAAATCTAGTCAGCTCTGCTGTCCTGTTACTTCCAAACAACGTGTCACTGACTCATTCCCACTAAGTGAACCTGGCCTAACTCTGTGGGGTGACGTTAAGGCCTCAGAAGAGAATTTTGGCACATTTTCTTTACTGTACCTGTCTTTGAACGCGCCGCACCCGTGAATAGCAGCAGACGCTGTTCTCTGCTCCCCACATGCCCAGGACACACAGAGCAGGGACAGAGGGCTAAAGCGAGCTGCTACCAGGGTCTTTCAAAGGCCGCAGCGGAGGTGAAAAATCTGGACGACTAGCAAGACGCGGCCCCCATTGTGATCTCTCTGCAAATCGAGCACAAAGCACAAGGAGTTGCAAGGTAACCAACCAACAGCATGGAGCTTACACAGAACTTGTGCTGCACGTGGCCGAGGTGTTTCCTCCACCTTTAAACTGCCCCAAGCCCCGTTCCTGATCATCAGTCTGAACCACCCTAAAGCTTCTTCTCCTGCAAAAACAAACTTCCCGGAGAGAACAATGCTGCAGCCATTACCCCGAGAGTTAACATGAACAACCACACCCATAACCATTCTTGCTGCTTTGGGACCACAGCTCCCATCATGCAACAGTCAAATCTGGCTGTTAACCCTTTCCTCGCCGTCGGATTTGGAGGGGAAAAAAAAGCCCACAAAAGACAACGCTGAGATGAGAGCGTCTAGAACAATTGCTAGAGAAATAGCTCTTTGGGCAGTGGGGGGTTTTTTGCACTGCTCCTGGCTGGCAGTGGAGGGGAGCACACTGTCAGGAAAGTACCCAGGAGCCGAGCAAATGAAATACAGGAGGGAATGAGAGGATGACTCGTGTCTACTAAAAGGCAGGGAGGAGGGATGGCCTGAATTTCCTGTTCTGCCCCTGCTCTCTGCGAAGACAATGAAGACCACCTAGCTCTGCTAAAGTGCCTTTTATCAGTAGATTTCAATCAGAGTGTTAAAACCGAGTCACTAGATTTGCCCATTAGTTGCAAGCTGCATTTGTAGCCAAACTAAGAAAAGGTCTGGTGACCAAATCCATGCCTCGGAGTGACTGTAAATCAGACGTCTATTAGGAGTATGCAAGGCGGGAATCCTCCCTGATGGCATGATATGATTAGCCAAGTAAATTATGAGGGACGTGATACTGGCCACTGCCCGCATGGAAGCCCCAAGTGATTTGATCCACTATGGCAAATTCCATGTTTGGATATACAAAATAAAACTCCAACCAGCTGGAGATCAGTAACAAAATCTCTTTTCATTCAAAGCACCCAGACAGAATAGGTCTGCTCCTCTTAGGATTTTTAAAATATTACTTCATTCTGTGCAAAAGCCATGCGGAATATCTACATAACTCCTACAAAGATTTGGTCTTATTTTTTCACTTCAATAAGGGCAGTTTAACATTTCTATTGGGAGGCAGCAAGGTCCGGAAACTATATATCTGATATTTTTCCATTTATTGTACAGGTCAGACTTCATCCATTTCCCACTGTTTTCCATACAGATTGTTCCTTCAGGGACCAATCTGATCTTAAAATAAGAGACTTTTTTTTCCCTCTACAAGTGAAGCAGAAAAAATGTCTTTTGTTGGTATACATGGACTATTCTCCAGTGAAATGGGATCAGCTGAACTGGGGACCAAGAGGACTAGAGTTACTGAACAATGATTTTAAAGCTCTGATCTCTCGCTAGACAAACAGACATGTAAATAGACACCGAAACAAAGGCACTATGAACAACATATTGGAATGCTTTTAGGAACAGCAGAATGCAGTTTAATATTGACTTATGTATATATTTTTAATAACTACAATTAAGGTAAATAGGCAGTATATCTTGGATGATTAATTGCACAGACTTTTCTGTTTCTTCACAAACGATTAGGCAACTAGACACAAATTTTAAACAATCTATTAATACTATTCCTATTATTAATCTGTATTATGGTAACTCTGAGAGGCCCCGACCAAGATCGGGGCATCTTTGGGCTGGGGTAGGGCTGATCAAAATTCTGAATTTCTGTCCAGCAGGACACTCCAAGATTTTGAAATTTGGTTTCGTCCCAAATCAGGATGAAAAGTTGAAATTGCAGAATTTTTTGAATTGTTTAGAAAGCGTTTTGTTTTAATAAGCTGAAAACTTTTACTAATACAATCATATTATCTATCAAAACGATAAAGTCAAACAAAATTCTTCCATCTTATCAAAATGGGGCCATTTCAGTCATTTCCCCTGAAAATGTAGATGAAATCTATATGTTCTCCCAAAATGTTCGCATTTCCTAGAATCAGCCTTTTCCAACAGAAAACTGCAGCACAAAACACACAGCAAGAGAAAATCCCTTCCCCAAACAGCTGACAATCAGAGTAAACAAGACAGGCATGGGATGAAAGGAAATATCATTATCCCCATTTTACAGATGGGAAAGTGAGGCACATCTGGATTCAGAGACTTGCCCAAGATCACGCAGGAAGTCTGTGGCAGAGCCAGGAATTGAACTTGAATCTTTTGAGCGCTAGCCCAGTGCCTTGGCAGTTCTTTGGGGGAAGGGACCATCGTTTATTATATGTTTGGACAATGCCACCGCAACGGAGCTCCAGCCAAGCTGATCTCTTGTAGCTACTGCAATACAAATATTAAATAATAAACCACCAGTCAACCATCTCTCAACAAACAAGTTGCTGGTTATTCACTGGTTATTCTCATTCATTTGTTGGACCAATATTAAAATCTCTCTCCAAATTTTGTGCTCTTTTCTACATTAACTTTTTCTTTATCGAGCTTTGACTCTGAGTTAATATGCAGCGTTCTTGTAGCCACGTCAGTCCCAGGATTTGGGAGAGACAAGGCAGGTGAAGTCATATCTTTTATTGGGCCAACTTCTGTTAGTGAGACAAGCTTTCGAGCGATACAGCCCTGAAGAAGAGCTCTGTGTAGCTTGAAAGCTTGTCTCTCACCAACAGAAGTTGGTCCAGTAAAAGATATTGCCCCACCCACTTCATCTCTCTCTGAGTCAATATGTGAAGAATATCCCAATTTTAATTTGGAAGGGGGGTGGGCAGGAAAATATAGGAAGGCCGAGGGGAGTAGTAATGGCATATGGATCTTGGGACTCAATCCAGTAATAGCAACTGAAAGTTGTTACCATTTGGCAGATGTTCAAGAGGCTATGAGAAATGAGCTCCAATTCTTAGCAGAGGAAGGTCTGTTCCACAAGAACCATGTCGCCTATTGGGTTCCTTGTTAGACGTCTCAGCAGAGAGATCAAGGACTAAATCGATCTTGGAGACTTCATACTCCTCTGGCTCCAGAACCGGATAACTCCAATCACAATCAAAGCACATTGGAAGGAGCTTTGCATCGCCTCTGCTGTACCTGCTCTGTGACTTTCTGTCTCTGGGGCAGTCAAGCCAGCACCTTGAACTAATATTACATTAATGTATCACAAATTTTAAATTAAAAAAAGTCTCATTTTTTAAAAAGCAGCAGGGAGAAATCCTGTCAGGCACTTAGCTCACTGTCTGAGTGACCATGAAAGTACTCGCAAAAAGAAAAGGAGGACTTGTGGCACCTTAGAGACTAACCAATTTATTTGAGCATGAGCTTTCGTGAGCTACAGCTCACTTCATCGGATGCATACCGTGGAAACTGCAGCAGACTTTATATACACACAGAGATCATGAAACAATACCTCCTCCCACCCCACTGTCCTCTGGTAATAGCTTATCTAAAGTGATCATCAGGTGGGCCATTTCCAGCACAAATCCAGGTTTTCTCACCCTCCACCCCCCCACACAAATTCACTCTCCTGCTGGTGCTAGCCCATCCAAAGTGAAATTTGTGTGGGGGGGTGGAGGGTGAGAAAACCTGGATTTGTGCTGGAAATGGCCCACCTGATGACCACTTTAGATAAGCTATTACCAGCAGGACAGTGGGGTGGGAGGAGGTATTGTTTCATGATCTCTGTGTGTATATAAAGTCTGCTGCAGTTTCCACGGTATGCATCCGATGAAGTGAGCTGTAGCTCACGAAAGCTCATGCTCAAATAAATTGGTTAGTCTCTAAGGTGCTACAAGTACTCCTTTTCTTTTTGCGAATACAGACTAACACGGCTGTTACTCTGAAACATGAAAGTACTGGGACTTTTTGTGGTCACAGCAATCTGAGAATGGGTAGGATGGTCATATAGATTTCCAGTAAATGAGACCAAGAGTTTTCAGTGCTGACATGGTTACAAAGAGGTAATCCCAACACACAAGAACAATTATAGGGACAAAGAATAGTCCAGCGTCTAGGAAACTAGTTCAGTGGCTGGAGCTCTGGGTTCAATTCCTTCCTCTGCCACAGACTTAGGCAAGTCACTTACTCTCTCTATGCCTCGGTTCCCATCTGTACAATGGGGAGAACAGCTTCACAGGGGTGCCCACGTGAGGATAAAGCGCTTTGAGAGTTACCGATGAAAAGCACCACGTAAGTGCTGTTATACCTCCCGATGACCACCATGTGGGTTGCCTCCCATACTGCACTCCGCTTCCTGGGCTCTTCTGCAATCCCGCTGCTCTTTGTCTCCGGGTCTAACTCCTGAAGGCTGCTCTAATTGACACCGGTTTTGGGTGCTTGACGTTAGATACCTTTGGCCTGATTTTCACCCACAAATCTGACTGAAGCCCAACAGGAGCGCTGGTTGCCCAGCATCTTCAAAAATCAACCCAAAGGATCTGAAATTGGACATCTCCAAAAATTAGAGGCTTCCAGAAAAAGTGGCTGAATATTTGCAATTTTAGACACAGCCTTACTGGAGATACTGAGACAGCAACAGGCAAGTCCAAAACCTGCTTCTCTTTACAGCGTCAGAGAACTATTTACAGAGCCACATACAGTATCATAACAAATAAAGTAGATTAGCTATTTCCTCTTAAGGGGGCATTGCATCATTCCACAGGTCTCACTTGAGAGTGTTAAAACTCCATCTTCTTAAGAGATACAATATTCTGTCAATTCCTCGGTGCTAAAGATCTCCCCCTTCCTCCCTCCTTCCCTCCCTCCCACACACACAAACTGTCTCTCTCAATTCTTATCACAGTTTATGCACCTCTGACTCTCTTTACCCATCCACAGACCTTAGCTATCTCTGTCTGCCTGATGATGGGTTCCATTCGCCTTACAATCACAGCTGCCTTGTGTGGTCCACAAATCTGTTGCTTGGTCAGTTACCCTATGTGTATCGTGCCTGATTTACATTTTGGAATATCAGCTCTTGGCCACAGGACAGTTGTGTTGTCTTTTGTTTGGCTGTGGAGTTTTAAAAAAGTAAAAATAAATTACTATTCCACCAGGAAAAACAGACTTAAATTGCTACACTATTTTTTATCTAAATAATGTTTCAATTTAAAAATGGGGGAGGGGGAAACTAATTACATCCTTGTGTGGAAGATCATAAATCACATAATTACAATGGGAACCTCTGCATCTCCCCGACAGACTAAAAGCAGACTACACAAGTTCTTATCTCATTACAGTTTAATTAAGAATTATGTTTGAGCATCTTCTTTTTAATTATTGAAGGGCCCCGATGACTTCTAATCTTTTTTACCTGGAGTGACAGAGGGTGCGGTCCAAGATGGGCACTAATGAATTTACAATTTGCTCTTTTGGGAAGTTTAATAAAATTAGTCCACATAGAAGATTAACACTGATAAAGTGAACTTCCAAAGAGAACATTTGGTTCCTATCAATTCATGTCCTACAAGTGCCAGGAGCATGGGGAGGTGAGGCTGAAGTGTTACTATGTCTTGGGGCGAGGGTGGGGGTTTCAAGGTGGGAGAGAAGATGGTAAATACTCTCTTCCCTGGTCTCACCTGCCTGCACACAACCACCAGCTGCTTCACATGCTGCAATGCGAAGACGCAGAGGAAGATGAGTGTTAATTGTTTTACTCAGAGCCCACAGAGCTAGACCAGCAGCATCAGGGTCTTTTCCTGCAACACTCCCACTGGCCACGGCAGGAGTTCTTTGCACAGAATGGCTACAGTATCTGGCCACACCTGTCACTTTACATGGGTTCATCCAAATCTGGATTTCGCATTCCAGCATGGGCCAGCCTCTGCAGGCGTTCAATTTCCTTTGATACCAACACCACAGCCGGAGAGACCAGCTTTGAGGAACTACAAGGACCCCATATCATCACGTTCTACAATGTACAGCCCTGTGCTGACAAACCACTGGGCTACCTGACACATGCTCTGTGCGGACAGGCACCAGCAGCACTGCATTTCAGAAGGGCCGTCCTGTAAGTGCTAGGCCAACTTTAGGAATAAGCAGCATAGGCGATTTCTGCACTACCGAGCCCGTGCCAGCATAGCTCCCTCCTAGTCTAGTTGTAGCGCAGGCCAACAGAAGGAGCTCTGCCGGAAGAGGAACTCCCCGAACGTTAACCAAGCTGCGTCTACACTGTGGGGGTTGTCAGCGTCACTCTGTCGCTAGAGGCCAAGTGACACATTCATGCTGGTGTACATTTTAAGTGCGGATAGGGTCACAGACTGCCTCCTAGGGCTCTACTTGTTATGACCAGGGCTGCTTCAGGCTGGTCAGCCGTGTTGCAATGTTCCCTGTTAGGGGCCTTAGCAGCAGGGTCTTTTGAGCACAGTGAGGGGAAGGGAAAAGGAGCCAGGAGGGGAGGAGAAGGTGCTCTAGAGATACTTTGCCTGGGGGTCTGATTACATGGAGGCTCACTCTTGAAACAGATTTGGACAGCAAGAAGGGGCACTCTGCAGCTGTCTGGCCTCTTACCCTCTGATCAGTCTAGTACCCGCTATTCCATATCTCATGTGTAGACAGAGTTACAGCAAGAGTGAAAGATGAAACGCTGAAGTCGCACGGCCTCAGCGCTAACTGTTCGCCATGGTACAGAAACTGGTGGCAAAGACAGACAGAAGAGGGGGGAAAGAGACTGAAATGCAGGAGAGGAAAGTATAACGCTGTAATGAGAACCGACAGGTGGCAGCACTGATGCACGTTGCCCTTTGCTTGACCAACAACAACTGCAGTGCTGAAGATGTCAGCTGCTTGTTAGCATCCACACATGCTGTGAATATCTTAGCAAGCAACACCCCCCTCCACCTCCCACAGACCTAATTCATTTTAGGGTGAGCATACCTGTTATTCCTCCATTACTGGCTAGTCTTATTCCTTTAGTACCTTCTGGAGAAGATGAACTCTGATGGACACACAGAGTGGCGGCCCAATAGTTAGCTCTTTGGTACCTGGAGTTGAGATTTCCCCATGCTGAAACACACATGCATTTTGCATTGATGCTTAGCAACGAGGGGAAGATCAACAGTAAAAATAATTATTTTGCATGTACTACACACACGCACCCCCAAGCTTAGGCACCACGTTTCACTTAAAATAAGTTAATCACAAGCCCACACCTTAGACAAAGGGGTATGTGGGCCCACCCAGAAATTAGCACCACACGGGCAGAGGGTTCCATTTGGTATTATTTGACCAGAGATGTGTCTGTGAGAGAGAAGCTCAAGGAGATGAGAGACAGAACAAGTGGCTGGCATCTCAACCTGGAAAAAGCTGAGAGCGTGTGAGCTTTTGGGGTACTGGCCGAGAAGAGTGTTGTGGGTGCTGTGAATGAGGACATGATCCTTTGTTTGGTTCCTTCTGTCTCCAAGGAAACAGGACTTTGCCTATTTCTTACAAACACGCCTGTATCTAAGTAAATACCAAACTCCATAGTCAATTTCTATTCCCAAATGAATCGCCCGCAGGGTCCAAACTTTGACTAGCCACTCAGGTAAAAAGGGGTAACAATACACACACACTTAATCCTACCTCAGCAAGGGCGGGGAGGACTAGATGATCTCAATCTCCAGCCCTACATGTCACACATCATGTGTATATTTCAACCTCATTGCTGCTTCAAGTTAGCTTTACACAGAAGGTGGGGCAGGTTTCATAATGGAGTCTCTGGGGGCTACTACGCTATAAACAACAGGAGTCCAGAGGTTTAAATACCAGTAAGCATCTGTTGTTACTGGCTTCAGGATACTACACAATAACCAGAATGCCATAGCTGTGTTTGCATTATCTCCCTTTCATCCCAGCTTGTAACCCAAGGCCCAGAACCTGAATGGCAGGAAGCCTATCACTGCTTGAGTTCTGTGATACAGTATCCAGATTTTGTGTGGCATGTTTTTACCACATGAAAACACTTAGAACATGGATGTCATGGCCAGGACATCAACAGATTCAATAGCCTGCATTGTTAAACCACATTGCTAGTGAAACTCAGCACTCTGACTTTGTTTACACTTCTCTCCAGCTATCTGCAGACGCCTGACAAGGTGGCAGATATCAATTAGTTTGCAGCTAGCAAATGGACATGATCAGCCTTCTGAGCCTTGGCCTCTCACATCCACGGTTTGTTAATTTCCATCTCTCGCACCAAGATGGTTTCAGGTTTCTCTGCTGGAAGCACAACAAAACCTATCAAGAAAATCTCTGTAAATGCAAATGGATTTTGCGAGACAGAAGACAGCGGGACAGATCAGCTGCCACTCACCGGGGCACAAACTCTCCCCTGGGTTGCCACTGCTTAGGAGGCTCCAGAAAATGTTCTATTAACAGTTAATTTAGACACTCTCGAAAGCCCAGCAAAGCCCAATGCCAACTGGCAGAATGGAGGTCAGAGTTCTCCTGCATTTGTTTCTAAAGCTGCTCCTGAAGGCATACAGCAGACATCAATTCCCAATCTAATTTCTCCTAGAAAGAAGAATTGTCTTGTCACGGCTGATACCCCTGAAATCCTGATTCAAAGGGACTTGCAAACTGCACACTGCATTTCATTTGTGCCTTTTCTCCTCCATTCTTGTAATGTAATGGTGTAAAATCCTACACCCGGGCAGCAGGGGAGAAGAGAAAGAAAGGCTGTGGGGAAATTATAAATATCTGGCCTTGCCTTTCTTGTTTCTGTAGGAGGACTCTATGGATGACTAGAGAATAAAAACAACAGGGAGTCCGGTGGCACCTTAAAGACTAACAGATTTATTTGAGCATAAGCTTTCGTGGGTAAAAACCCCACTTCTTCAGATGCATGGACTCCATGGGGTTTTTACCCACAAAATCTTACGCTCAAATAAATCTGTTAGTCTTTAGGGTGCCACCAGATTCCTTGTTGTTTTTGTGGATACAGACGAACACGGCTACACCCTGATACTTGACACCATGCTAGAGAATAAAGGGGACTATGACATCAGAAATAAAAAAGGGATGAAACACAACCAACTGAGAGGGGAAGGGATTTGAGATCCGACTATTTAAAAAACAACTTTCTTTTTTGCTTCTGCCAGGAGCTGTTTAACTCAAACATTGGTACAAAAGCTTTTCTGGTGGTTCCAGATCCCAGCCCTCTAGCAAAAACAGGGAAGACCAGGTACTTGGTGGGCCAGATTTTCAGAAGTACTGCATACCCACAATTGGGATAAGATCTTCAGAAGTGCTCAGCTCCCACTGAAGCACCTAAATGAAGTGGGCAGATTTCTGAAAGCACGCTGTTGTGCTCAGTGGAAGCTGCTGAGCACAACAAGACCTGCTGGGTCTTGAGCAATTCATGTAGGTGCTGCTGGGTGCAGATGCTCTTTGGAAAGATCTTGATGGACACATTCCTGGATACTCTCAGTTAAATACAACAAACCTTCCCGGGACCTTCTTTATACCTCACAAACCAGCAAAGGAAGGGAATAAACATTATTTTCTCCTTTCCAGGTCACTTTTAAGACACTGAAAAGACTGACCGTTCAAAACCTTCTGTCCTTTCATTAGGGAGGATGGTTCTAGACTATTCTCAGTGGTAGAAGAGGACAGGACAAGGAGTAATGGTCTCAAGTTGCAGTGGGGGAGGTTTAGGTTGGATATGAGGAAAAACTTTTTCACTAGGAGGGTGGTGAAACACTGGAATGCGTTACCTAGGGAGGTGGTAGAATCTCCTTCCTTAGAAGTTTTTAAGGTCAGGCTTGACAAAGCCCTGGCTGGGATGATTTAATTGGGGATTGGTCCTGCTTTGAGCAGGGGGTTGGACTAGATGACCTCCTGAGGTCCCTTCCAACCCTGATATTCTATGATCCTATGATTCTATAGGGAAATCCAGAATCAGAGGCAGAGCCTGGGGTGAAGGGTATGGACATAGTGAAAGCCCAGGTTGGCTATGAGAGAATCTACAAGTTATCTGCAAGTGGCTTTTTGGAGCATTTTGCAAGCACTCCATAAGGGAAATGCAAGACAGGGAGGTAGCTGTGGCGATAACCCACACAAGACTGAACCTTTCAGACAGAGCTGGGAACCAGGGGGAAGCTTCTCTCACTTCCGCCTGCCACCCCCTAGCTGGAGGGACTGGGAAAAACAACCACCACAGGCTGCTTGTATGCAATCTCAGCTCCATTCAAGCTGCAGACTTGTGAGTGGCTTGCTGTCAGCAGGATAAAATATTCAGCAACTGTAGATTGTAGACAATGTTTCATGCCTCATTGACTGCAAAAGTTTTTAGATTTAGTCAACATGTGAATAGGAAATCCCAGGGTAGCCGTACCCTTTTTTTCCCCTCCCATGGATAAAGTCCACATTTGTATAGGTTTTTTGGCTGTTTCTTTTTTTTTATTTAAAGTTTGTGGGTATTTTATTTCAAATTAAACTAGGGGCATTATTTACAGCCCTTCACTGAGGGACCAATAAACAACAGTTGCTATTGTTGAGGCCTATTAATATTGTTAGTTTCCAAGGGGACGTCTCTAAAAAGATACAAGCAATCTAAAAAGACTGTGCAAGGCAGTTCAAACACATTCATCTTCCAGGGGACTCCCCTTCATTCAGCTGCGCTGACTGAACAAAGCTCATCTGCAATCACCTCAACCTATCGTTATTCTTTAACATTTATATTGCAGTAACATCTAATGGCCATACATTGTGCTGGGCACTGTACAAAAATATAGTCAACCAGTCTTTGCCCCAAAGGGCTCACGGTCTGAAAGACCAGATGTAATGGATGGATGAGCCACAAGAGTGGGTTGGCACAGGGGAGGCAAGGTAACAATAAATATAAGAGGACATGCTGATTCCTGCCCACTCAGTAGCAGTAGAATTAATATAATTGTAAAAGGCGCTGATCAGATCTCCTCTGGAATACGGCGCACAGTTCTGGTCACCCACGTTCAAGAAAGATGAATTCAGACTGGAACAGGTGCAGAGAAGGGCTGTTAGGATGATCAGGGGAATGGAGAGCCTGTCTTGCGAGAGGAAACTAAAAGGTTTTAAAGAGTTGGCTGAGGAGCTGGCTGAAATGTTAATGTTGATTTTCAATAACGCTTGGAACACGGGGGGACATTCCAGAAGACTAGAAGACAGCTAATGTTGTGCCCATATTTAAAAAGGATAAACGGGATGACCTGGGTAATTATAGGCCTGGCTTTTTCTGAAAGGAACCCAAAGTGCTTTACAAGCCTTTTTAAGGGATTCCTCCCCCTCCACCCACCTGGTAGAAAAACTGAAATCCAAAATATTTCAATTCTGAAGTACCTCTACAGTGCCTTATGGGTGTTGTAGGTTAGGTGCCACATACTCCCATTTCCCTCTGTTCAGAAGTACAGGTGGAAGACCATTGCTCCTCCAGCTGGGCTATCAAGCTGTCTAGTGATGGTATTTGTAATGACCTCCTGATGAGAGGGGAGGAAATTGCTTTCCTCATCAAACCGCTTTTCACTGACAGATTGTTTATTTTCCACCCCTCTGGATCATCACCTAGGGTAAGAAGTTGCACAGAACATGGATTTAAAAAAAAAAAAATACAAACCTCACACACCAAACACCTTTTAATTCAACTGGTTGAAATTACACAGGGAGATTAGTTTTTTGTATGATTTGATTCCATTAATTAGCTTGAGAATATCAGCACAGCCAGGCAAGCAAAGAAAAACAGAGATAAATCCTTGCCATAACACAGCTTCATCTTTTAAAGTCAATTAACTCTTAGTTATTAGCTTTTAATTAGGGAATAATAATGACACCATTAATACACTTTATTATACTTGTCAGCAGACAGCTGTTCCAAACAGATTTTATTATCAGATCTTGGCGGCTTTTCTCTGCTGTGATCCCATATTTCTAAGCATATTGACGTGACTCTCCCCTGCCCCTAACCCAGGGAGTACAGCAGTTAAGCCTCAGCTCCTAAATGTGCAACTCATCACACAGAAAGCAAAAGGGCCTCCAATCTAAGGTGGATCTGTATCATCTCCCCCTTGCAGCAGGAGCTGGCTCCAAATCGGAACTCTTGGCCAGATTCCAAGGAAAAACAAGAAGAGGGAGGAATGAGAATGAACGTCTCTTCAATTCCCTCCAAAACTTCAAAGGAATTTAGGCCTTACATAATACATGGGCGCTTGTGTTTATTTTAAATAATCTAAACTGGGTTCTCTGTCCCAAAGAATTCCAGCAGCAGCGGGATCCGGTCTTGACTGCACATTTGATGTCTCTCTCACAGGTAATCCACATTCCTTTCTTCACACATTTCGGGGGGGGGGGGGGAGCATGTTGGATGTATGCCAAATGCCAGTCTTACACCTCAGCTCATAACATCTGAGCTTTTGTCATGATAAGATGCCAACAATCTCACTGGTTTTCTTCAGAGCAAGCAATGTGGCTTTTCTAGCTCCCAAAGAGTTCCAGGGTAATTTTACAGCACTGTAGAAATGTTTGGGAGTCTTTTGGGTTTTTTTTTATTTTTTAAATCAAGAATCTCAAATAAAATTTATCCAATTGAAATCTCATTTCTGCCAACCCACCTGGTGCCCACTGTATTACTATAAAGATCTGACAATTGTAAAGTCTATGGAAATCCCACACAGAGTATTCTCTTGTCCAAAACTGGTCCAGAAATTCTCACTTCAAATCCTGCTCTTAAGAGCCTCCACTACCAGACACCCACAGCAAACTGCCTAAGGGTAATGACCAGGCGGGCAGGGATGGTGTCCCTAGCCTCTGTTTGCTTGATTATCTCTTCTGTTCATTCTCTCTGAAGCACCTGGCATTGGCTGCTGTCGGAAGACAGGATAATGGGCTTTGGTCTGACCCAGTATGGGCATTCTTATGTTCAAAGAAAAGGAGTACTTGCGGCACCTTAGAGACTAACCAATTTATTTGAGCATAAGCTTTCGTGAGCTACAGCTCACTTCATCGATGAAGTGAGCTGTAGCTCACGAAAGCTTATGCTCAAATAAATTGGTTAGTCTCTAAGGTGCCACAAGTCCTCCTTTTCTTTTTGCGAATACAGACTAACACGGCTGTTACTCTGAAACCATTCTTATGTTCTTTCATTAACATCGCATTGTCCACTGTATTATCAAATCAAATACTCTGAGGGCTCTGAGTTGTTCACTCTGCTAATACTTATAACCACAAGTTCCTGGCATTGTCACACCCTCATCCTTCCCCTTCCTTACCACCACTGTGTTCTACACCCACCTTCTCCCTAGGTAGGTTTGTAAGCTGTTAGGGGCAGGGACCTTCGTTTACTGTGTGGGTCACAGGACCCAGCACAGTAAGGTCACAAGTCTGACTAGGTCCTCTGGGTGCAATTGGGTGAGAAATATGTACAAATGCAATAAATTCTCCTTGATTGTGGCCTTTTTCAGGTTCATATTAAAATACGAAACAATGACAAGATTCTCCTGGATGAATGGTTTACAGTAATGCAGTGGGTTCCCCGCAGTAAGATTTTCTAGACAACTTCTTCTCCATTTGGGCCACAATTAAAGATGACAGACTGTCAGGGCTGCAGCAGTTCATGTTGGCGCAGAGATCACATGCTCCCTGAAAGTGAAGAAATCTGTTCATTAAAGAGACAAGGGGATGAGGTAATCTCTTTTATTGGACCAGCTTCTGCTGGGGAGAGAGACAAGCTTTCGAGTTTACACAGAGCTCTTCTTCAGGTCTGGAAAATGTACTTGGAGCGTCACAGCTAAATACACGGTGGAACAGGCTGTTTAACATAAGTAGTTCACCTTGAAGGGTCCCTTGAAACGTGTGAAGTGGACCAGAGGGGGCGGGGGGGGGGGGAAGAAGTGGGTGGGGAAGGCAGCTATGACTGGAGGGGTGTTAACAGCCACTTCACCTTGAATAAAGAAAAGGAGTACTTGTGGCACCTTAGAGACTAACCAATTTATTTGAGCATGAGCTTTCGTGAGCTACAGCTCACTTCATCAGATGTTTACCGTGGAAACTGCAGCAGACTTTATATACATACAGAGAATATGAAACAATACCTCCTCCCACCCCACTGTCCTGCTGGTAATAGCTTATCTAAAGTGATCAACAGGTGGGCCATTTCCAGCACAAATCCAGGTTTTCTCACCCTCCACCCCCCACACAAATTCACTCTCCTGCTGGTGCTAGCCCATCCAAAGTGACAACTCTTTGCATAATCAAGTCGGGCTATTTCCTGCATAGATCAAGGTTTTCTCACATCCCCCCACCCCCATACACACACAAACTCACTCTCCTGCTGGTAATAGCTCATCTAAACTGACCACTCTCCAAGTTTAAATCCAAGTTAAACCAGAACATCTGGGGGGGGGGTAGGAAAAAACAAGAAGAAACAGGCTACCTTGCATAATGACTTAGCCACTCCCAGTCTCTATTTAAGCCTAAATTAATAGTATCCAATTTGCAAATGAACTCCAATTCAGCAGTTTCTCGCTGGAGTCTGGATTTGAAGTTTTTTTGTTTTAAGATAGCGACCTTCATGTCTGTGATTGCGTGACCAGAGAGATTGAAGTGTTCTCCAACTGGTTTATGAATGTTATAATTCTTGACATCTGATTTGTGTCCATTTATTCTTTTACGTAGAGACTGTCCAGTTTGACCAATGTACATGGCAGAGGGGCATTGCTGGCACATGATGGCATATATCACATTGGTGGATGTGCAGGTGAACGAGCCTCTGATAGTGTGGCTGATGTTATTAGGCCCTGTGATGGTGTCCCCTGAATAGATATGTGGGCACAATTGGCAACGGGCTTTGTTGCAAGGATAAGTTCCTGGGTTAGTGGTTCTGTTGTGTGGTATGTGGTTGTTGGTGAGTATTTGCTTCAGGTTGCGGGGCTGTCTGTAGGCAAGGACTGGCCTGTCTCCCAAGACTTGTGAGAGTGTTGGGTCATCCTTTAGGATAGGTTGTAGATCCTTAATAATGCGTTGGAGGGGTTTTAGTTGGGGGCTGAAGGTGACCGCTAGTGGCGTTCTGTTATTTTCTTTGTTAGGCCTGTCCTGTAGTAGGTAACTTCTGGGAAATCTTCTGGCTCTATCAATCTGTTTCTTTACTTCTGCAGGTGGGTATTGTAGTTGTAAGAAAGCTTGACAGAGATCTTGTAGGTGTTTGTCTCTGTCTGAGGGGTTGGAGCAAATGCGGTTGTATCGCAGAGCTTGGCTGTAGACGATGGATCGTGTGGTGTGGTCAGGGTGAAAGCTGGAGGCATGCAGGTAGGAATAGCGGTCAGTAGGTTTCCGGTATAGGGTGGTGTTTATGTGGCCATTGTTTATTAGCACTGTAGTGTCCAGGAAGTGGATCTCTTGTGTGGACTGGACCAGGCTGAGGTTGGTGGTGGGATGGAAATTGTTGAAATCGTGGTGGAATTCCTCAAGGGCTTCTTTTCCATGGGTCCAGATGATGAAGATGTCATCAATATAGCGCAAGTAGAGTAGGGGCTTTAGGGGACGAGAGCTGAGGAAGCGTTGTTCTAAATCAGCCATAAAAATGTTGGCATACTGTGGGGCCATGCGGGTACTTCAAGGTTTTCTCACATCCCCCCACCCCCATACACACACAAACTCACTCTCCTGCTGGTAATAGCTCATCTAAACTGACCACTCTCCAAGTTTCAAGGTTTTCTCACATCCCCCCACCCCCATACACACACAAACTCACTCTCCTGCTGGTAATAGCTCATCTAAACTGTCCCTTGCAACATGTGTGAACTGCTTATGCTAAACAATCTGTTCCACCTTGTATTTAGCTGTGATGCTCTGAGTACATTTTAACAAACTGAAGAAGAGCTCTGTGTAGCTCAGAAGCTTGTCTCTCTCACCAACAGAAGTTGATCCAATAAAAGATGTTATCTCACCCACCTTGCGTCTTTAATATCCTTGGATCAACGCAGCTATAACACGGCATACAGAAATGTGTTCATGGCAGGCATTCTCCTTTCACCAAGCACTTGGCAGTCAAAGCCCTTTGAAATAAATCAGCCTGACACGGGAGTAAGCCAGCTGCAAGAATCCATTTGCAGTTATCCAAAGAAAACATACAATTGTTACAATAAAAGCAAGATTGTTAAAGGCAGATACTAAATGGAGAAACTTTCTTGCACTGTGGATCAAAATAAAAATAGACTAGACAAGACAAAGGAGGGGAGAAAGAAAGGGTTATATCATCTCCATTTTACAGACAGGGAAACTGAGGCGTGGAGGTGGAGTGACATCCAAATTCCAGGTCAGCTGCAGAAACTGGAATAGATCCCAGGTCTTCCAACTGTTACTCTAGCACCTTATTCAGCCAACCCACTGCCTCCCACTAGAGCTAGACTTGTTGCAGCAGTCTCTTGGCCCTTCATGGCCTAATTCTGTACTTATTTTCATCCTGTGCACTGCCAAAGATCTCGATGCAACAGCAGATAGTGTAGCATCAGCCCAGAATTTGGCCTTAAGAATTCATTTCCCTGTGGAATGCTGCAGGTGTTTTGCACGTTGTAGCGGTGCAATACAACATCTCAAAGTCCTCAAACATCATTGTTTGTTTGCACAGGTGACAAAAGCTGGGGATAGTCTCAGGCTGTTAATCGAAGCAGGTTTGGAACTCTCGGTGGAATTAAAACCTCTTCACCAGTGAGGCACTTTTTTGTGTGTTTGGCTGTATCACCGAAAATCCCCCCAAAATGACCAAATTAAGTTTCACCAAACATTGTCCCCAAATACATTTTGAGGCCAAGATCATACATGAGACACTTCAGCCCTGATGGTAACTTACATTAAAAAAAAAAAAAAAGTAGCGCAGGGATCCCACACAGGCAATTACCAGGGTTCTGTGGCAGGTGACAGAATTAACTTACCTGTACACTGGAGTTCTACAAACAGATCCGAACTCCCCTACCCCTCATTCCCTGTGTGGTTCCATGGTTTGCCAGCGGCCTGGAAGCGAGAACAAAAGGCGGGTGGGTTCACATACAACAACGGTGAGCACTGCCTGTGTGCTGGAGTGCACAGCTCCTCTGGGTTTCCCCCCAGCTCCAGGTGGCAGAGAGCAGTTGCTTCCAAGAGAGGCTATCTACAGAGGGGTGTGAATGATAGAGTGGTCAGTGCTTTGCATCTCTTCATTCAAACGGGGGCAACAAAATAAAGCTCGCTGCAAGCTGGGCAGGTGAAGAGTGGTTTGCCCTCCACTTAATAGCCCTTCAGCGTGGTGAGAGCGAGGTTCGGCAGGTGCCCTGACTGAGTTGTTAGTGCCAATCCAGTGATCACCATGTCATTCTCTTGCCAGGGGATTAATTTCTGATTTTACTGCTGCTCTTTATCACAGAGACAGCTTTGAAAGGCACAAATTTTCCAACCCACAATGGACCTGTCACAATGACAATTATATTTAACAGCAGCAGTTCGGTCTCGCCTTTGAAGGCCTCTGATTACTGCAGTAAATAGAAGCATATTAGAGAGGTGTGGGGAGTGACAAGACACTGACAGGCGGTATGCCTATCACATCACAGCACTGCAAGGGGCCAGGAGCACACTGTGGCCTTGACAAAGTAGTTCCAGCAGGGCATTATTTTCACTGGGCTTTGGGTGCAGCAGAGGAGAGGCAGAAGAGCGACTAGAGATTTAAAAACACACTCCTGGTACATTACTGCAGTGAAGAGAATGCATGGTGCAAATAAAGTTATTTCAGAAAAATGCAGCACCAAGGGAAGTTTACTCCCCTCTTTCCAAGTCAGCCGCCTTGCAGAGAGAAAAATACTGCAGCCCTGCAAGCAGAGGAGTAAGTAGATGTACAAAGTTTGGGCTTTGAGATCAGTGGTGGCACTGGGCAATTGCTTCGGGTACCAAGCAGCTCAATGGGGTCCCCGATTTAATATTACCCCAAAAGACCATTCATCGTATTTAATTTGGACTTATGTGGACTTTTAAACAAGCGTATTAATATGTTTGTGTTGGTATATTTTTTGGTTCATGGAAATAATGCAATTAGTAGTTTTAGGGAGTGGGTGAGGAATAAGGGGTCCCCCCTGCACCCAAAAAATATTCCTGCTTAGGAAGCCCACTGGGCTAGGACTGCCTCTGTCTGAGATGCAGTATTTTAAAGATACAGAGGTAACTGAATAGCTAAGGAGGAGTCTACTGTTTAGAGCAGACGACCAGTAGTCAGGATTTCTAAATTCAATTCTCAGCCCCTCCCAGTGATTTGCCAGGTGACATTGAGAAAGTCACTTGTCCATTTCCAAATTTGGGTGCCTAAACATAGACCCCTTCATAAACAGTGGCCTGATTTTCAGAGGGGCTGAAGTCAATGGGATCTGCAGATACTCAGCCCCTCTGAAAATGGTTGAAGATTTAGGCCTTAACCCACAGTGGTAAGATAGATACCGCCTCTCCCCCTCCCTGGCTCGATTATGAGAACCTATTAACATGTACAGAGTGGCTTGGGGTCCTTAGTTTAAGAGCACTATAGAAGGTAAAAGTATTAGGATTCATCATTAAATAGGGAGAATTTAGTGCAAAAAAGTCCAAATCAATGGAGCTGAACAGAGAAGGCATAAGTCTATAAAGTGGTTTCATCCCCTGAATAATGACAAAGCTTTGGATTGCCATCCTTTTCAGATTTGTATTCGAACATCTGAAGTCAAGCCTGTCCCTAGTTTATACTCCTAGGGAAATTCTGCGCCAAAAAATTAAAAATTCTGTGCACGTTTTAAAATTCTGCATATTTTCTGTGTCAAAATAACACAATATAATCACATCAGTTTCAATTATTTTTGGTCATTTATTTGAAAATACCTGTCAGCAAGTATGTCTGTAACAATACAGACAATAAAAAAAAGATTCAGGAAATGTTTTTTTGTCAAAAAAATTCCTTACTAGGCATATTAATATAGTACTCTGAGTAATAATTCATTTAAACTACAGCCACCCCATCCCCTTGTCTCTCTGTGCCCCTGTACTCCTTCCCCATGTGTCTGTGCCCCCACTCAGCCACGCTCTATCCCTAAGTAGCTCTGTACCCCCTCCCCCATCACCATGTGGTCCTGAACCTCCCCCATGTCCCTGTGCCTCCACTCCCATTCAGCCCCTGCCCCAGTCTGTCCTCCCCCACTAGCCCCTATGAGCCTGTCTGACCCCCGCAGCATCCCATGCTGTCTCCCCCTAGCCTGTCTCTTGACCTGGCCTTCAGGTCCTGCAAAGAAGACAGGCTCTTTCTCTTCCCTAGCTGGCCAGGAGCTGCTGTTGTGTTCTAGCACCACAGTACCCTCTGGTGGACAAAAGGCGGAACTGCTGCAACATTTTGGCAGTTTTTTTCTGTGCAAAACATTAAAATATGCATGGCTCATTAATTATGCATGCAGTAGTGCAGAATTCCCCCAGAAGTAAACAGTTTTGGTTCCAAATGGGATTCAAACCCAGAAGCAGCCTATTTTCCCAACCCAGCTACACTAAAGGAGTCTAATCTATCAGAAAAAGACATAACAAGAACCAGTGGCTGATGGCGAAAGCCAGACAAAATTCAAATTAGAAATTAGGCCCAAGTTTATAACAGTGAGGGTGAGTAACCATTGGAACGAACTACCAAAGCGGTGGATTCTCCATCTCTGGATGTCTTCTGATTAGGACCAGATGCCTTCCTGGAAAACATACTTTACCTAAACAAGATACTGGGCTTAATGGAGGGGTAACCGTGAAATTCAGTGGCCTGTGTTGTACAGGTCAAACAAGATGATCTAGAGTCTTCGTGGCCTTAAAAAAAATCTATGAAAAAACTCACAACTACTGTTCTTATCAAACTTCAGCCAAAAGGGTGGGAAATGCATGGGAACAGCTGCGCTCATGAGATTTCCACTACTTGGGGGTCAGAAATCTCACGTGAATGATTTATGCTAGGCCACAGCACCTCTAAATCCCAGCCTCAAATTGAGTTTTACACCTGAACCCCAGATTACACTGGACCTAGACGCATCACTTCCTTGGCCTAGTTACTCTCCAAACTGATTACATGGTAAGAGAGGCCCAAGGAAGAGAGAGAAAGCCCTTATCCACAGGCAGAGAGTGAGGAGGCCTTAGGCTGTTTGGAGAATTTAAGCACAGCTTTCTTAACACCATCATCTCTTCAAAATATCTGTGAATCCTCCTGTATCTAGGATCATGTCAGGTTCATTCTTTGCTGGCAGTTGTCTAGTGGATGAATCTGTGCCTCTCTGCTGTGCTAATTGAGAAAGAAAAAACAATTGCAGCACCCTGGCTTGTATCAAAAGTAACCAACCATTCTCCTCCAACCCATGCAGACCTGCTTTGTGGTCTAGAGCCAGCTTGGCCACATGAGGAGGGCCTATGTCCATTCACTGATTTTCAAACCACGAGGACGAGGTCACTCCTGCTATAGAAACAGCCTGGCCAGGAGCCTGTTTGCTGGAGAGAGGTTGCAGCTCTGATATTCCAACATTAGCCGCAGGCATCTGAAATGCCAAGCCTAGGGCTGAAAGATAAGCCAAAGCCAGCGGCACATTGCCATGCCCTGCCACTTCAAGCTCTCATAGGGTCTTCTACTGTGATATAGGGCAATTCGCTTGCCCTTTCTGCCTCTGTTCTCCTCTTTGTAAAGCAGGCACGAAATCTCTCACAGGGGTGTTGGGAGGAGTCATGTTTCTGCAGTGCTTTGAGGTGGAAAGTGTTAAGTATCATTCAAATCTCAGTGCTAGGCCCAATCGGTATTAAGCACAGGTCCTCTGCTTAGGCTCCTGGCACTCTGCCCCATGTGCTATGCAGAAAGAACTGTCAATTTATTCCAAGCACCACGTTGAATGAGAACAATGGCATCTACAAATAGTGCCTGGTAGATAGGTAAGTATCAGCCACCTGGGTCCTCCAGGCATTCTACAGAAGAACATGATTGGTGCTCTTGCAGGCCTGGAAGAGTGAAAACAACAGGCTTCCCAGGAGCTGGCAGTCGATAAAGGGCGGTGAGATCGGAGACTGTACTTGCCCCAGAACCCTGACTGCAGCAGGTGCACCTCGCTGGGCCTTGTTGAGAATCCGTGAAATCAGTGTTCGCCACCTCCCTTTTGGAACAAACATGGAGCATCTCCCCAACCCACTGTCATCTTCGCTGCGGGAGGACTACAGTAGCTTCCACTTCGACCCCACCATTGCCGATACTACCCTAAAAAGAAAAGGAGGACTTGTGGCACCTTAGAGACTAACCAATTTATTTGAGCATAAGCTTTCGTGAGCTACAGCTCACTTCATCGGATACATACTGTGGAAAGTACAGAAGATCTTTTTATACACACAAACCATGAAAAAATGGGTGTTTACCACTACAAAAGGTCAAGAACACTATCCCCGATAATGTCACGGCTAACCTGGTGGCTGAACTTTGTGACTTTGTCCTTACCCATAACTATTACACATTTGGGAACAATGTATACCTTTAAATCAGCAGCACTGCTATGGGTACCCGCATGGCCCCACAGCATGCCAACATTTTTATGGCTGACTTAGAACAACGCTTCCTCAGCTCTCGTCCCCTAAAGCCCCTACTCTACTTGCGCTATATTGATGACATCTTCATCATCTGGACCCATGGAAAAGAAGCCCTTGAGGAATTCCACCATGATTTCAACAATTTCCATCCCACCATCAACCTCAGCCTGGTCCAGTCCACACAAGAGATCCACTTCTTGGACACTACAGTGCTAATAAACGATGGTCACATAAACACCACCCTATACCGGAAACCTACTGACCGCTATTCCTACCTACATGCCTCCAGCTTTCACCCTGACCACACCACACAATCCATTCTCTACAGCCAAGCTCTGCGATACAACCGCATTTGCTCCAACCCCTCAGACAGAGACAAACACCTACAAGATCTCTATCAAGCATTCTTACAACTACAATACCCACCTGCGGAAGTGAAGAAACAGATTGATAGAGCCAGAAGAGTTCCCAGAAGTCACCTACTACAGGACAGGCCTAACAAAGAAAATAACAGAACGCCACTAGCCGTCACCTTCAGCTCCCAACTAAAACCCCTCCAATGCATTATTAAGGATCTACAACCTATCCTGAAAGATGACCCAACACTCTCACAAATCTTGGGAGACAGGCCAGTCCTTGCCTACAGACAGCCACCCAACCTGAAGCAAATGCTCACCAGCAACCACATACCACACAACAGAACCACTAACCCAGGAACCTATCGTTGCAACAAAGCCCATTGCCAACTGTGCCCACATATCTATTCAGGGGACACCATCACAGGGCCTAATAACATCAGCCACACTATCAGAGGCTCGTTCACCTGCACATCTACCAATGTGATATATGCCATCATGTGCCAGCAATGCCCCTCTGCCATGTACATTGGTCAAACTGGACAGTCTCTACGTAAAAGAATAAATGGACACAAATCAGATGTCAAGAATTATAACATTCATAAACCAGTCGGAGAACACTTCAATCTCTCTGGTCACGCGATTACAGACATGAAAGTTGCAATATTACAACAGAAAAACTTCAAATCCAGACTCCAGTGAGAGATTGTTGAATTGAAATTCATTTGCAAATTGGATACAATTAACTTAAGCTTGAATAGAGACTGGGAGTGGCTAAGTCATTATGCAAGGTAACCTATTTCCCCTTGTTTTTTTCTACCCGCCTCCCCCCTCAGACGTTCTTGTTAAACCCTGGATTTGTACTGGAAATGGCCCACCTTGATTATCATACACATTGTAAGGAGAGTGATCACTTTAGATAAGCTATTACCAGCAGGAGAGTGGGGTGGGGGGAGAGAAAACCTTTTGTAGTGGTAAACACCCATTTTTTCATGGTTTGTGTATATAAGAAGATCTTCTATACTTTCCACAGTATACATCCGATGAAGTGAGCTGTAGCTCACGAAAGCTTATGCTCAAATAAATTGGTTAGTCTCTAAGGTGCCACAAGTACTCCTTTTCTTTTTGCGAATACAGACTGACACGGCTGTTACTCTGAAACATGATACTACCCTAGTCACACATCTGTGCCTCCTCTCTTCTCCAGCTTCATTTGTTTGGGGCTCAGCCGAAACAGTCCTTCAGATATTTTATTACAGAGTGGTCTCGATTCTCCATTTACCTTGCACCTTAACAATCATTTAAACCATTGCAAAGACCAAACCACTTTCCCTTGCTCTTAATGATTGCAAGAGGTGCAGGGCAATGGGATTAGGGGATTTTCTCGTAGGAGGAGAGTGGAGTGGAAAAGACTCAGCTGCCTCAGCTCCAGTAAAAGAACCTTCTGGAGAAAGTCTTCATTTTTGCTTCCTCTCCCCCAGATTACCAAGCCATAGAGGAGGAGATGTCTAAAGCAACACCCTGATGTGACACCATCACCTTTAATCCTCAATGGAATTATCCCCAGCATCGAGCAAACAAAAATACTTAATATTCCCTTGGCCCAAAATGAGTATCTTTATCACTCTGTTTTAAAAACCACAATCTTTTTGTAAGCAGAGCTACAGATTCCACATTCAGGAAAGGGGGAAGGAGAGGGGAGGAGTGGAAGTCTCTGAAGACCTGAATACATGGAAAAGTTGCACCAGTTTAACTTAAATCACTTATTAAACCTGTGCGAATGCTATTTCAGTTTAAGAGTGGCTTCTTGAGGTTTAGCTTAACCTGATCAATTTAAGCTAAATTGAAACAAGTCACTCAAACCAAAATAAGTGTATCCCTATGTGGGGGATGTACTGGCTAAAAAGTAAAAAAAAACAAAAAACAAAAAAAAGACCCACACCTTTATACACCGGTACAACTTCCTCAGGTAGACAAGCCCCCAGATTCAATCCACAGGAGTATCGTTCTGTATTCTTTTTATTCATTCATTTATTTAGTGCTGGTGAAAGGTGCAGGATTGACAGCCCTGGAGA